GTAAGGGGCTGACAACATTCCTGAATTTGGGGAGATGTATTCTTCATTGCCGAAGCAGATCTGGGCATGCTAGTATATACGGCATTGAGGCTCTGCCAGAGAGTACTGCCCCCCTCCCCGCTCCTCTTGCCAGGAGTCGGATTCTTAAAAGGCCTATCTTGTTTTCCAATCATAGCAGCATAGACAATGTCCCTGAAACTGGACAACCTCCCCTCCCCCCAAATCTCCATGGCAACACAGCCCTGATGCTGCCTGCACATCCCAAGGAAACGCCACCTGAATAAGTCCCAGGAAGACCCATTTGATTCTTTCAAAGCCTCATTTTCCTTTCTCATTTGCTCACAGATTTAGAGGGTATGAAGAAGGGCAATGAGTAGAAATGAATGCTGATACCAGATCCTTTATCTGCCTTTACCTACCTGTTCCTAGGTCTTCTCCCCCCCTCCCCCGCCCTCCCAGGTTAGGGAAGAGACATTGGCAGAGGGTGGTGCCCTGGAAGTTTTTTCTCGCCTAGCCCCAAGCCCTGAAAACACTCCCCTCAAAAGGGTTTCAGCTCTGGGGAGGGACTTCGTGTTCCTTTGACATCCTTACATCTCCACAAGTTAACTGAAACCCAAAAACAAACAGGGAGATACTGCCAAAACCCAGGAAAATGCTCGATACAGGAATAAATCTATTACCTTGTTCTGATGAACTTTTTCCTGTCCCTGAAGAATTCTGCCACTTTCTGGGCCATCTTGCCTGGAACACATTCAATGACTTCATGGTTTTCAGTAGGTTGGTTGGTTGGAGTCAGGGTCTCAGCCTAGCCTGCCCATGAACTATTCCAGCCTTAGCCTCTAGTGTGGTCTCTCAAATGACAGTGATTTTTTTTAGGGGGTTCATGTTATACCAACTATATTGAGAATACCCTGAAGGCAGGGAACAGGTTTAAGCTTGTGTCTCTTAATAGCTACCTTGGCATCTGGCTCTCCAGAGAGCCTGCAGAAACGCAGTAGTTTGAGGGGAATCTTTGTTTTGGTTTCATTTATCTGACCAGAGAAAAGTCTTGAGGACTTGGTCAAGTGTGACAGGTCACTCTTGGGGATAGGGTGGAGCAGAGTGGGGGTCCAGCAGGGTTTCTTGCTCAACTTTGTAAGAATCATTCCATGTACTTACTTAAAGCTCATTTGGCCAGAGACTCATCATCGCCCCAGGAGATTCTCTTGGGAAACAGGTAGTGAAAGAGGAAAGAATGGATTTGGACTATGTTCCTGCACTGTGTTCCTAATAGCCAGACAAAACATCATCTGACTTTATCTGACTTTGAGAAGTCAGGAGAGGAAATAACTAATTTTCCCAGCCAGCCAGTTTCAGTGGCGAGACAATTTTCTTCTGCTTTCATTCTTCTCAAATAGAAACCTGGTTAACCAGTTAGTTTTCTATCTTCTCCCTATCCACATCTTCCAAGGCAAGTAACATCAAAATAACCAAACCACTTTTTTTTTTTTTTGGACGGTTCTGGTGGCTGAACTCTGGGCCTGGGAGCTGTCTCTCAGCTCTTCAGCTTGGGTATGTGGGCCATTTGAGCCACAGCACCACTTCCAGCTTTTTTCTGCCTATGTGGTGCTGAGGAATCGAACCCAGAGCCTCATGCATGTGAGGCAAGCACTCTACCACTGAGCCAACTTCCCAGCCCCCACTTTTTGTTCTGCTCTTTTCTGTTTATGAAGCCAATGAACTTTTCCCGGCTCCTAAGAACTTATTTGTGGAGTGACCTGTTCATTCTAGAATTCCAAGGACAGCTTAATTTTGTGAGAGACAATTAAAAAAATTCTTTTGCTAAGCCTGTTAAGGAACCAAAAGCTGGATAGCCAATCTTCACCCAGTCCCCGCTCTGCTCTGTACGAGTGCTCTTGGATCTGAGCCATTCTCTGCTGCAGTCACTTTACAGTCACTTTGGGCTCTAGGAGGAACAGGATCTGATAATAACATCTTGTGATAAAAGGCAAACTGTCCCTCCAACAGGCAATGCCATCTCATTACCTTGAAGACAAACAACCAAAAGCTACAGAGAACTCCCCAGGCAGAGCTAATGGTCAACCAGGCCATACCTCTGTTGTTGGTCATGGGGCTTGAATTCTGGGCCTGGGCGCTGTCCCTGAGGCTCTTTAGCTCAAGGCGAGAGCTCTACCACTTGAGCCACAGTGCTACTTCCCAGTTTTCTGGTGGTTAATTGGAGATGAGTCTCAATAGACTTTCCTTCCCTGGGCTGGCTTTGAACCATGATCTTCAGATCTCGGCTTCCTGAGTAACTAGGATTCCAGGTGTGAGCCACTGGCACCCAGCTCATGTGCAAACCTTTCTTACAACCTGCCCCCAATTCTCCCTCAACACCTGAGGCCAATGTCTGTTCCATGAAGGTGCCTAAGGTATACTGAAGTGTTGTCTTCCAATGGCTACCATCTGGACGTTGGGTCTAGGTTTATAAAGACCCAGGTGTGTGTGTATGTGTGTGTGTGTGTGTGTGGTTTTGTGTGTGCATTAAATTCCAACTCCTGTGGGAGAAGACAATGAACAGGTTTACTAAGTTACCATAAACATCATCCAGAAATAAAAAAAGACCATGTTCAAAAGTTCCTGAACTAAGCCGGGCGCTGGTGGCTCACGCCTGTAATCCTAGCTACTCAGGAGGCTGAGATCTGAGGATCGCGGTTCAAAGCCAGCCCAGGCAGGAAAGACCGTGAGACTCCTATCTCCAATAAACCACCAGAAAACCGGAAGTGGCGCTGTAGCTCAAGTGGTAGAGCGCTCGCCTTGAGCTGAAGAGCTGAGGGACAGCGCCCAGGCCCAGAGTTCAAGTCCCACGACCGACAAAAAAAAAAAAAAAAGTTCCTGAACTACTAGTAGAAAGGCTGGGTAGCTGCTAGAAAGACCACTGGACCTACAGCTAAGAGTTTTTTGTTTTTTTGTTTTTGTAAACTTTGGAAAAGAACTGTTTTGTTTTGATGGTCGTGGGGCCTGAAATCTAGGCCTGGGGGCTGTCCCTCAGCTCTTCAGCTCAAGGTGAACACTCTACCACTTGAGCCACAGCGCCACTTCCAGTTTTTGCTTATGTGGTGCTTAGGAATCGAACCCAGGGCCTAATGCATACAAGGCAAGCACTCTACCACTGAGCCACCTTCCCAGCCCCAAGAACTGTTTACATTGAACCCATAGGAGGGTAATCCATATGAAATAACCAAGCCAGGTGCTGATGTCTCACACTTGTAATCCTAGCTACTCAGCAGGCTGAGATCTGAGGATCATGGTTCAAAGGCAGCGTGGGCAGGAAAGTCCATGAGAATCCTCTTCTCTCCATTTAACCAGAAAATTGGAAGTGGCACTGGGGCTCAAAGAGGTAAGAGTGTGCTAGCCTTGAGCAAAAGAGCTCAGTGAAGGCACCAGGCCCCAAGTTCAAGCCTCATGACCACTGCCACCACCACCACCACCACCCACCACAACAGAAAATGATGAATAGCTGCTGCTCCTGGTGTGGCTGGGTGAAAGTTCCAAATGCTTTGGTGTGACAGTGTGGCAAACCCGTTGCTCAGCCAAAGATAAGACTAAAGTTTTACCTCAAAGAATATTAAAGGGACTTGGTTTCAGTCTATAGTATTTTTTACTAAGTAACTCTTTCCATTTCTCTTTCCCATCATATGCCTCAGTGTAACGAGTTTGAAATCCTGTCACAAATCTCAAATATCTCCTTACTATGGAGGGAATGCACCTCTCCTTTGTGAGGATGAGTAGTGATATGTGTGTGAAATCATGATCTTGGTGTTTGCTTGGCACCCTGTAGGTGCTCTTGACTTTGAATGTCATTGGTATTCTGAAGCATGACATCTCCTTAGTTACAGGCAAACAAGTTGTAGAACAAAGGGCCATGTGTGGTGGCTGGTGAAGCACTATTGATCAGAGTATGTGTCCTCACAGCATTGTTATCAGCTGGGCCCTACAGACAACCCCAGGAATCATTTTTAGCAGGTTCCCTAGGTTACGCTGAAAAACAATAAAATTTGAGCCACTACTGATGATTTGCCCATTAATTTATGAATAGATGAATGAAAAGGCTTTCAAATGATCAACTAGTTTAGTTAGCAATGACTCCTAGAGAATAATGTTCATTGCATACCTCTGACACATCACTATGAAAACACATCTCCTCTACCCTTTTTGCAATGCTGGGGTTGGAACTTGGCCTGTATGTGCTAGGCAAGTGCTGTGCAACTGAGTCTCAACTCCCAGTGTCACACATCTGACTCCACAGATAGCATTTCAAGACATCTGGAAGCTCTGTTTAAGATTATGCATCAGGGCTAGGAAGGTGGCTCAGTGGTAGAGCACTTGCCTTGCATGCATGAGGCCCTGGGTTCGATTCCTCAGCACCACATAAGTCAAAAAGAAGAGCTGAGGGACAGCGCCCAGGCCCAGAGTTCAGGCCCCATGACCGGACCCCCAAAAAAAAAAAAAGATTATGCATCAGAAGCACTCTCTATAAACTCTCTCTCTCTCTCTCTCTCACACACACACATACACACACACACTCTCAAGGCACCATTGAAGTTACCATGGGAAACCGGATACAGCTAGTGTTTGTTGAAATGATCATTAACGGGCTTAACATGCTGAAAACCTAAGATATGTAAACATCTAGTCTGTTGGAAAATCTTTTGTACATCAAAGGCTTTTCAAGTACAGTTTATACCTTTTCAAAAGGTCCAGAGCCCCTAGATGTTTTTTTTTTTTTAAATTACAGACTGGATTACTGTGCTGGTTGTTTCAAGTATGTGGTTCTAAAAGAAACCAATGTCCTAATTCCTTTTGGGTTCTAACTGGGATAAGTCTGTTGATTACCTTGGTCTTTCAAAGACATGATCAAACACTCCCTCAAATACCACCAACTTCTCTTCACCAATAAAATATGCCCAATTGTGCCACAATCTTCATTCTGTCCAAACAAAACTGTTTTCTCCAGATAATATGGTTTAGCTTGTTTTTAATGTAGTGTGATATAAAAATGAAGACTTCTGCATGGTACATTTGGCTTTACAAACGTTAATGCTTGTTATACATTGTACATCATTATAATCTGTTGACCAGCATTAGCCTTTTCAACATGGGTTAATACCAAAACTGTGAATCATGGAACTTTTACTCAGCACACACACAATCTACCGCAAACTTAAATAGTAACCTATTTTAATATCTAACTGAATTATTGGATCCATTGTAGGATTGTGCTTATTTATCTCAGAAGATAGGCAACTAGCAAAAATACACATTTCTCTTGCATATTCCCACCCCCATATTACACTGGAAAAGAAATACATTATTCAGTGCACTTCCTAAGAAATAAACTCCCTTATAGTATCTCTTTATATATCTATCCCCAAACAAAGGAAGAGCATAATGCAACTTTTAAGATTACCAGTTAAAGCAAGAGAGGTAATAATACTCTGGCAATGGAGCTTCCCTTCCTGATTGGAAGGTTCAGCTGTTTTATCAACACTGTTTCATTTTGGCTCTGTAATGGAAAGAAAATTCAACGTGTGATTGCTTTGGATAGTTTTAAGATACGCCCCTACACCATTCTACTCAACACCCTAATGCATCGGTGGCATTTTCATATTACAGGTATTTACTAAGCTTAATCAACCAAACTGTGGGGTCATCAGTATACTGTTGTGATTTCCACACTGATTTCCACCACCTGCCTTTCCCTAGCAGCTCATATGGGATTAAAAGGAACAGAAATTAAATTATAGGAGGTCTGTGGGCTGCTGGATAGAGCTGGTTAGGAGAATGTGTGTGAAGGCACCAAGGCTGCTTCCTCCTGGTGCATGTAAAATCAGGAAGCCACCATGTCTGAGTTGGGGTGTGGAGAATCCTGTTTGGAAGAGGGACATCTTATTTTATGGACTACGCAGTCTGGAGGCTTCTCTCTATACAAACTTACAATGATGGAAATGGCAGAAGTGTCTAGAATGAGAGTGCAACTTGGCAGTTTGCAAACCAAAGCCAGCTTTGAACCTGCTTGTTTATACAGCAGCATTTAAAAGCGTTCTGACTCAGCTCTGGAAAATTTAAAGAAATGATTAATATTTAAAATGGAAATTTTGTTACAATTTGGATTCCACAAAGATCTAAAGAGCTGGTAGCCCTTGTCTAGCATTCTTGCATGGGACTAGCTAGAGCTGAATAGGTGGCCCTTTTACATGGGGCTGGGGCATTTTGGCTTGCCAAAGTTCCTATCATTTCAGGCTGTTTAACAGCACTGCCAGAACGATCTGCTTCACATATTCATATGACTAGTACATTTTTGTGACCCTGGGATGAGTTTAGTTGTGCCTTTTTATGGTGATGAAGACTTGGACTTCATTTGGAATTCCCTGACTTACTGTGGAAGGTATTCTGCCTGTGAGTGACTGGGTCCGAGACACATCTAAGTTGCTTTGGTAGGTAATCTTAATGTGCAATTCTACTTGTCCTTTATGGTATATTGCAAACTCCAAAGATATAATCACACTAATATTTATGTGTTTAAGTGTGTGCATGGTGAACATGTAAAGGGGTATATATCTACATAGACAATATGTATACTTCCATTTAGGCAAAAGTTAATTTGGTCGCACAGATACAAACAAGTGCTGGCAGCTTGGAGAATAGTAACATTTTGGTAAAACCAGTATAATCGACTTATAATATTACAAAGAGTGAATTTTTAAGTTATTGCTTTTTGATTACAGAATAAAGATTTCATTCTGTTGCAAAATACTTTTATACTAACCATTTTCCTATTCAAGTAAAAGCAATCAGAATCAGAAGTTCCTTACACAACAGTAGATGCTTGAAGGTATTTTTGAATGGAGATGTGATTTCATTCTATTCAAGAATTTATGCAAGAAACTAGGAGTGACTTAATTCTTCAAAAGTACAAGAAAATCAGCACCCCAACTGTTTAGTGCTCAGGAAGGCTTCACAGGCTCTATAAAGCTCAGCTTTATAGCGTTCACACCCACCTTTGGAAGCATTCCCATATTACTTATGCAGCCTTGTTTCAGAACACAAAGCTTGTAGTAAAAACAGTAAAGGAGGATTAAAAGCAGTGTTGGTTTTTAACATTCAGAATTCACAGAGGATCTCATTTTCTGTAATTCAGTGATCTCTTTTTTTTTTTTTTTTTTTGCTGCAGAATCACATTCATATGGCAGTCTTATTTCAGGCACTTTTAAAACATGTTCATCTGGAATAAAACCACTTCTGCATAATTAAAAATGAATGTTGAATAATTCCAGTCCCAAAATAGACGACAGATCACTACCTGGTTCTCAATTAGCTTTCTCCATCACAATATGACGGTGACTGCTGAGCTTGAGATTTCTCTGAGGTGCCCTTCTAGCTTAGTACAAAGACATGAGCCATAAAAATCCAAACTACTGTTTCTACTTTAAAAAAAAATACAAAAAGGTCAAATACACTAAATACAGATGCTATTCACTACCATCAAAATAAATAACACAATCTGACTCCATGGTCTAACGCTGAGCTCTTGGACGATCGGATGGAATGTCAAAGGTTGCGATGCCTAGGGACTAGCTGCTGGTAGGCAAAAGTATCTCAACGTCCTTGCCGTTAGCCACCACGGCGCTGGAAGAGCAGCTGCTGGCAAGGTCTTCTGTGGTGGTAGCAGAGGCTGCCTGGGGATGAGTTTTGGTCACTGAAGTGGTAGTGGATGGAGAAGGGGTGAGGCCAGGCTTTTTTGGTGGGATAGGTGGAGGGTTACCTCTCTCAGCTCTGGGGATGGTTGGAGACTTGATTCCTGGAGACAGGGGACTTAGAGGGCTGGACACTTTCCCTGGAGTAGGTGAATGGCTGGTATCACCTCTTGAGCTGGCCGTGTTAGCCAGATTTCGGTAGTCTGTGCCAAAGGGAGAACTATTGGGAGAAACAAGCTTGATTGGCCCTTGCTGGCTGGTGAATCTGGAGAGCACCTGAGTGACTGTGTTTCGGGCCAGCTGCTTGGCAGCAGAGTTATCTAAAAGGGTTGGGGACAAATCCCTGGATGGAGGGCTCTGTAAGCCACTGGCTTGCTGGTCCTGATCTGCCTGGGACTGAAATTTGTGCCGAGCTGCATGGAACCGCTGGTTGATCCCTACTTGGTAGGATGACTGGTAGCCGGGGCTGCTAGCCGATGACCCCAGTAAGCGCTTAGTAAGTACTGGTGAAGAGCAAGGGGAGGACGTGAGAGAGGAGGAGGCAGTGCTGCTGGGAGACAGTGAGCTTCCACTGGAGGGGAGGTGACTGGCCATCACAACTGGAGTTTCCATTCCCACAGGACACCCACCATTCTCTACTGGTTTTTCTTGGGACAATGCCATAGCTTTCTCTCGTGGAGGCACTTGGTTTTCTGCACTGTTGCCTGCAATCAACTCCCTGGCAGTTTGAATTTCTGGGTCACAATGACCATTGGTTTTTGCATATGAGTAAGAAGATGTGGTAGGGCCGGGAAGACCAGTGTTTGCCACCTTGGCTACGGGGCTCCCATGGGTTCTTTCTGCTGGAACGTTCTCCGTTTGGCAAAATACAGACACGAGCATGGGAGGCTCAGTCGCTGTGCCTTTGGACATGGCTGCTCGTTTCTTCGGTTGCTCGTCAGTGCTACTGTGCTGCTGGGAAGCCTCTAGCGTCTTCACTATCTTCTTCAGACTTTCCATCTCTTCTTTCAGAGCTTTGGTCCGGTTCTCTTCTCGGTTCAGTTTTGCTCTCAGTTGTTCCCTTTCGATATCAAACTCAGACAACTGCTTCTCCACCTGGGCCTCGGTCTGCTGGCCTCGCTTCCGCTCGGCAGCCAACTCTTCCTCTAGTTTGCTGACGCGGCTTTTTTCCTTCTCCAATTTCAGGCTCAGCTCTCCAGCCTTCTGCCCCTCCTCTGCAGCCTTGCTCGTGGCTTTTTTGCACTCGAGCACCAGCATGGACGAGAGCTGCTTGTGGCGGGAGCGCTCCTCCTCCAACTGACTAGAGAGCTTCTTTTGCTCTTTTTCAAATTTTTTCACTTGAGACTTTTCAAATTCCAACTAGAAAAAAATATACCACCACACGTCTTGATTAGAACATGAAAACAAAGATCTATTGACAAATTCTGAAGGGGAGCGTCCTGGCTAGATGTTCTCCGGTACATGGGATTACTATGTATGCTGTGATGCTTAGATGAACATTCTTGAAGTATCTGAACATCGAATACAACAACTGCACACATTATGATTTAATCTTTCTGTAAGACTGAGGAGGCACGCAGAGTTCTTACTGTCTCAGGGTTGTTAAACAGAATGTGATTCATCACTGTGTGGGGAATACACAGAACCCAAGCAAAACAAATTAAAAAAATGATATAAGCCAGATTTTTCTTTTTTTTTGGGGGGGGGGGGAAATGGGGAATGCTTTTGAAACAAAACTTCTGGTTTAGTAATATTTTTCTCTGGTTTTAAAAAGGAACAAATAATTGTTTCATTATTTTTTTTTAAATTTTTTACCATAGTTTTCTATTTTGGTGGTACTGTGGTATGGACTCAGGTTTCATATACCAAAGGTAGGTGTTCTCTCCCACTTGAGCCATACCCTTGGCCCTTTTTTTTTTGCTTTAATTTTTTGTTAGAGTCTCATGTCTTTGCATGTGGCTGGCCTTAGACTGCCACCTTCCTACCTATGGGCTCCCACATGACTGGACCACATCATTGTGCTCTCAGCTTATTTGAGGGAGATAGAATCTCACCAACTTTTTGTCTAGGCTGGCCTTGGGAAAGAAACGCTCATCTCTGCATCCAGAGTAGTTGGAATTACAGGTGTGAGCCACTATGCCTGATCTAAACTGGATCATGTTCTTCTCTAACACCCCGTCATTTTTGTTTAGTTTGTAGAGATAGGACTTGCTAAATAACTAAGGCTGATTTTGCACTCTTAATCCTCCTACTTCAGCCTCTAAGTGCTAGGATTAGTGTTGTATTCCACTACACTTGGATCTGGCTCAAACTTTTTATTTGGTGCTGGTCCTGGGTCTTGAACTCAGGGCCTGGGTGCTGCCCCTGAGCTTTTGTGCTCAAGTCTTGTACTCTACCACCTGAGCCACAGCTCCATTTCTAGCTTTTGGTAGTTAACTGGGCCTTCCTGTCCATGCTAGCTTTGAACCACAATCCTCAGATCTCAGCCTCCTGAGTAGCTAGGATTATAGGCGCAAGCCACCAGCACCCGGCCTGACTCATACTCTACACAAATTTACTGTTTTTTGTCTTGTAACATTATTGCAGAGACTTTGAAGGATCTGAGAAGGAAAGGGTCGAGAACTTTTTTTTGGTCAGTGTTTTTCAAATTCTGAGACCTATTAGTGGATGAGTTAAAAAAATTTAGTTAGGGGCTGGGAAGGTGGCTCAGTGGTAGAGCGCTTGCCTTGCATGCCAGAGGCCCTGGGTTCGATTCCTCAGCACCACATAAGCAAAACGAAAAAAGCCGGAAGTGGCGCTGTGGCTCAAATGGTAGAGCGCTAGCCTTGAGCTGAAGAGCTGAGGGACAGTGCCCAGGCCAAGAGTTCAGGCTCCACAACTGGACCCAAAAAAAAAAAAAAAAAAAATTTAGTGAGCTATGGTCACAATTTAAAAAAAAAATGAAATAGAAAAGAGGCATTGGTCACGTGGTAGAGCACCAGCCATGAGCAAAAAGCCAAGTGAGAGTTTGTGGCCCGAAGTTCTGGCCTCAATACTGGCTCATACATGAATGCACATCCCTGCCCCCGCTTCCCACTCACACAAGAAAACACTAATATATACCGCAGGCAGTAAGGATTATCTGTCTCTTTCTGAGCTTTCTGTTGTAGGCATGATAGGTTGTGAGTTTCTCATTGGAAGTCCAACTTCAAAAACTTTATGCATTATGTAGGATAATCCCTGAGCAATGGCAAACCCTGCTGTGATCCCTTTACTGTTATTACCTGCTGAGTTAGCCGCTCTCTCTCCTTCTCCAGCATGTATGTGACATCATCTCCTTCAGCTGTGTCCTGTGCATGCCTCTGTCTTTCTTCTTCAAGGTCTAGAATCACCTTTAAAGAATTTTTAAAAATTCATTTCAAAGTATCAAGTAATCACACTTATAACACTAAGTGCTTAACTAAACAGTTAAGATAGTTCCAGATTGAATAAATAAACAAATGAAATCCAACCAGGCCCCTCAAGGAGTATGCTGTCTAGTAGGGTGGAAGACATCTAAGCTATGTGCTAGAAAACAAGATATTTACTTTATTTGAATTCTATTCAGAATGGTATGTAAACAGAGAGAAGAGAGCAATTAGTGAGCTACAGAGCTTGAGAAAGTTTCTATGAATTAAAAAAAGGCCTGGAAAACTGTGGCAAGCAATGTGGTTTTGTGCAGGGGCCAGGTGTAGGTGATAGAAAGCCTAGGTGCTCCTCTAATGCTCAAATTGCTGGGGGTACCAAAAGCATGGTGATTAATACCAGCACTGGGGAAATAGGCAGGACTGATCGTGCGTTTAAAGCCAGCTTGGACTAGTAACAAGACCAAAAATACGAGGAGAGGAAGGAGCCCTGCAATTAAGCATTTCATGTGGCTTGCTTAATTCAGACAGCCAGCTAGAGGTAAGGGGTGAAAGACTGCATTTCATTCTGCATGCAAAAAGGCTCAATCATTGCGATCATAAATAGATTTTCACAAGGCCTCTTAAATATTCCAATTACCCTGATGCTAGAGGATTAAGCTCAATTTTAAGGAGAAAACAAATAAAATGTAAAAGGCACATTATCCTGCTTATACACAATAATATTCTGAATGGCAATGAATTACACAGTGGCTTCTCCAGAGGTGCCTTCCGTAGTAGAGCACTGGCATACCAATAGCTATTTCTTATGATTTTACATCATAAAAACGTTTATGAATAAGGACAGAGATTTTCTGGAAAATGAAACACACTTCCCCTCTTCTTTGAAATTAAAAATGTTCTTGTGTACTTCCTTCTAGGTTTGAAAAAAATCTAATCTTAAACTGAATGGATAAAATAGAAATATGGCCTGACAAGATATGTATATTCTTAGAGGATGATGTAAAAGCTCCTCAATTTTAAGCAACTCACCTAAATCCACTAATTTTTGTTTTCAGATTTACTTCATTCTAGAGAAGGTGTTAATCTTTTTGAGGTCTTGGTTAATTTTAGGAATTTGATTGAACTTATGGGAAAAAAAAAACATTTCCCACAAAAATATGTAACAACTTTTGACAGTCTGTTTATTTTCTGGGGGACTGTGGGACATCTATAATCTATTCATGGTTTAGAGCCTTTCATTTGGACTCTGTAAAGGGAAAGAAAAAATTCACAAGCAAGACTTAAGAGTACCAGCAGTTGATCAGCTGTGATTTAAGCAGATAAGCCAATGCAGGTAACCATAAAAGTCTACCAAACTCTGAAGCTAACTAACTTAATTTTTATGATGAAACTTTTCCTACAAAATGAATTGTAACACTCCCAGTCTCTTTTGGTATACAAAACTAGTAGTTTTTGGAAAAATAAATTCTAGCCAATCATCAAATGACAAGCTGGGGAATAAATTCATAAGCACAAGAATTCCATTGAGATAAGACAGAGAAAAGCACAGGTTTGCCTTCCCAACTTAGGAGCTGTCAGACAGACAGACAGACAGACAGACAGACAGACAGACAGACAGACAGACAGACACACACACACACACACACACAGAAACCCTTTTCTAACTCTAAGAACTGTTTATGGTTTCATGAGCAATAAAATGTGATGAAACTCTAAACTAGAAATAAGTGAAAACAATCTACTGGCTCGTGCATTTGTAATCAGGTAAATTCATTTTCATTCCCCATCCCCTTTGCTGGGATACAACATTCCCCAAATACCTGTTAATCGTTCTATTTATCACTTAAGTAAGCAAACAGAGAACACTCTGTTCAACTACAAGCTTGTTTAAACCCTAGCTTACTGCCAAACTGTGGATGATCAAGATCTGAAAAAAAACATATCAAATGTATTAGAATGACAAACTGAGACGGAATGTCATCATAAATAATGTGTCTGGCCTATTTCCTAAATTTAACTTTGGAATAACCTGTACTTTTCTTCATATATCTTGACTTCTATGTAAGCTAAAGTGTTTTGGTATCTACAAGCACCACCGCCCCCACCTCCAATTACTGTGCAAACAGGCAGCTGACAGAAAGGTAGGAGGCATTATTCAGAGTCTTCACTGGGTCTCAGGGTGAATGCCCAGAAGGTGAACCCACCTTTCGGTGTCGGCTCTCGGCAGCAGCCAGCTGGGACAGCATGCGCTCCTGCATGTTCTTACACTGCTTCATCACCACTTTAAGGATGGACAGGGGGTTTGTGCACACTGGCTGCTTTTCACCATCATTTTTCTCCTTCAGAGTTTCAAAATCTCTCTGGAGAGCCATTAAGGGATCACTGATGTTATATTTTCCATAGCGTTCTTCAATGAAAGTATCTCTGTGTTGGGCCTGAGAAAAAGGAAAAAAATAGAAAGTATTTTGTTTTTTGAAACTACTGAGAAGAGGAAATCTGGTATCTAGTTGTTATAATAAAAGGTGGAAGTGTTAGTATAAATTTAATGTTCTGACTACAAATCAAATTGAGCAACCCAAATATAGAAACTACTCGAGATAGGCAACATTGTGTATCAATACCTACAAGCACGAATAATTACAGAATGCTAACTAAGGATTAGACATTGTTCTAAGCATTTATGGTCCTATTACCTTCCTTAAGTTTTACAACTCTATAAAGTAGATGTGGAAACCATTACACCATTACAGAGAGGCTAAGTACCTTGTGCCAGCTTACTCATCTAGCAAGCTGTCAAAACACAGACGTACACCTGGGCAGCCTGGCTCTGATGGCTTGACCCTCCCTGCCATGCTCACTATCTCTGCATATGTGGCTACTTTTCTTTTATGGCATTGTATTTCCAAACTGTTAACCATGAAAACTTCATGGTTTTAAGAGAAAAAAGGTACATCCATAGATATATAAAGGATGCTAAAAATAAATATGATCGTATTATCACCCAGGACCACATGGAACTTAACTATGTTGTTGATGAGTCAAGAGGGCAAAGGCACTCACAATTAGAGGTATAAACAAAAATCCCTTCTCCCTGCTACCAGCTACCTTGTATTATAGTCTCTTTATAGCTGCTGTCTTGCCTTGATCTACTCTCTTTTGGGGCCTAGTAAGTTTCAGGGATGAGAGACAACATGAGAAGGGGATGAGACTGATGCTTGGAACTTGGCTGTCAAGTCAAAGGCCTGAGGATCACGAGGTGTCTGAAAAGATACACTTTTCACATTAAGTACTATTTCCTATGAACACTATATATTACATGCAGTTGAACACACTAAGATTGATTACTGTAGATATTACAGTTTCTTGAGATGTTTTACAATAACAACATAAATGCACTTTGAGATAGGACTTAGTTGAACGTTCTAAAAAAAAATAATCATACCAAAGAAGCCAGGTGTAGTGGTACAAGCCTATAATCTAGCTCTTAGGAAACAACTAGAGGATATCCAGTTTGAGACCAATCATAGCAAAATTGCCAATCTAAAGCAAGATTTTTTTCAAACCAAACCAAACCAACAATAAAATAATAACAAAGTATACCATATAATTTTAAGATTTTAAGTTAAATCTTTTATGAAAAACTCATGTATCCATTAAAAGCAATGATTTCATCAATATATTTTGTTAGCATTGTCATGTACTAATTTGGAGGAGGATTAAAAACTCAATGCTTTAAGAACCCTCAAGAAAATAATGCAGGGGCTGGGAAGGTGGCTCAGTGGTAGAGCGCTTGCCTTGCACGCATGCGGTCCTGAGTTCGATTCCTCAGTACCACATAAGCAAAAAGTAAAAAGCTGGAAGTGGCGCTGTGGCTCAAGTGGTAGACTGCTAGCCTTGAGCTGAGGGACAGCGCCCAGGCCCAGAGTTCAGGCCCCACGACTGGACCCCCCCCCCCCAAAAAAGGAAAAGAATGCAAACATGGGCTTACTTTAACACAGAAATATATTTCAGTGCTGAAACTATGATGTGTTTGCTTTGTCAGTTGCCCAAGTGTCCATCACAGAAATGATTTAGCTTTATGCACAAATCTGTGTTGTCATCAGTTGCCAAATGTTTAAAGCAGAGTTAGAAGCTTTGGGTTGTAGCTTCCTGGTGGCACTTCAGGAAGATCTAGAGTTCAAGGCCAGCTTATGCTCTATACTGGGACTCTATCTCAAAAAATCAAAAACAAAAAAGAAGTCCTGGCTCTCATTCTAGTTTGACTCTAGACATTCTCTTTCACATTTGGAGGATGCTTACATAACAAACACAGAGGAATGTTTAACAATAATCATCCTGCTAACCCTACATATAACCATATGTATTATTATATATAACTATAATTAGCTTTATGTATATGTGTATATAAATATAAATATTGTGTATACACATATATACATTCACACTGGGAGAGAAGAGAGTAAATTAAAATGGGAAGAGGTTCAAAAGACAGTTTAAGACACAATTCTGTTTTTCTGTTTTGTTTTTGTGGTACTGGGGTCTGAATATAGAGTCTATCACTTGAGCCATGCTTCATGCCAGGATTTTCGGTTTGTTTTTGAACTCAGGGCCTTGGCTGTATCCCTAAGCTTCTTTTGTTCAAATCTAGTGCTCTACCATTTGAGCCATGACACCATTTCTGGCTTCTTTTTGGTACTTTACTGGAGATAAGTCTTACAAACTTTCCTGCCAGGGCTGGCTTTGAACTATTATCCTCAGATCTTGGTAGTCTCTGTAGCTGGGATTACAGGTGTGAGCCACCAGCGACCAGTTGTCCCTGAGCCGTTTATTTTTGCTCAAAGATAATATTCTACTTGAGCCATAGCTGCACTTCTGGTTTCTTGGTAGTTAAGTAGAGATAAGAGTCTCATGAGTTTTCCTTACTGGGCTGGCCTTAAAACAGATCTTAGTCTTCTGAACAGCTAAGATTATAGGCATAAGCCATTAACACCTGGCAAGCTACTTACAATTTTTACAAGCCGTAGAATCAAACAATGATTTTCATTCACTAAGAACATGTTTCTTTCAACTCAGGTATTAAAATCTAAGATTAATCATATAAGATTTAGCGAATGCTATTTATAGCTACTAAATACTGAGGCAAATTTGTATTTAGAAATTTCACAAAAGGGAAAAAGAACACCCATTTAAGCAGCAGAAATACCACTTTTCTGTCCCGTTTATTATTTAAGACAACAATTTCTGTATGGTTAATATTGGTAAGACAATATTGATAAGAAGGCTGAATTTTAATGACCTTTCTTTCTTTCCAGAACATCATGAAGAGAGTGGATGGGCGAGGAGAAGGCAGGACTACAATTCATGACTTTGACATCAGACCTGCTGAGAAGCTGTCTCTTGGGTTTGAGCATATAGTTAACTAATCCTAAAAATATGACTTTTAAAAACCCACACTATGATTATTCTATATAATTAATAAGCATCAACATCATGAGTAATAGACAAAGGGCTTCTTTGGTGAGGTCTCAGCCTGAGAACAGTTGTTAGGCTGTCTATTTTCTCTTGTAGTACTTCATAGTAATTCCTCAGTTATTTGCATAGTAATTACAAGCTATAAAATAGATGGCTTCACCTATAAGTAAAAAAGATCTGCGAAATAACTTTTAAAAGACCCTTGTAACACAGTAGTTCTTAAGTATATTCTAATATTGGGGACAAATATAGAAAAGGCGAATACAATGTCTGTATTTATTATATCAAACCCTTTGAAAAGATGAGATGGAATATGGCATTTTTCCTTCACTAATATAATGACTCAAATTAGGTGAAGTATATGGATTATAAAGTGGATGGTGCAACTATTAATAATCAAAAATGTTAAATTTTAAAGAACTTCAGTGTTGTACTTGTTGTCTATTATGTGTCACAAATTCCCCCCCCCCCCCAAACTTCGTAGCTTTAATAATAAACATTCTTATCTCATGGCTTTTGAGGGTCAGGAATCTGGGAGGGGTAATTCTGGACAAGAGATTCATAAAGCTGCCGTCATCTGAAGGCATGAAGTGAGCTGGCATGTACATGTCTAAGCTTATTCTCATGGCTGCTGGCACAGGCTTCACCTTCCCACACAGCAAGTAATGGGAGAGAGGGAGGGAAGGAAGGAAAAAAGAGAGGGCACTCTCAAGTAATGGACCAGGAGGACCGTCTTGGTGACTTTTATAACCTAATCATTACTTTTATGTACTCTACTGTTGACAGATCAACTCTAGAACATTCAGGAGAGGTCTACACAAGGATGAGAATATGTGGAGGCTAAGATTTCTGGGGCCTGCCTTGTACAAGGTACATGAAAAGATATGTTATCACTATCATTTATGTGGTTAAAACTTGAAGACCTATAATCAAAACTATCAAGACTGGGCTTCAGTAACATGATATTAATAAAATTGTTAAAAATTATATTAGGAAGGGAAAGGGTAGAACAGTGATGGCAGGGTTAGTGATTAAAATACATTGTATATCTAGGTGGAAAATCCCTATTGTATAGCTAGTGTATGCTAAGAAAAAATATTACAGCTGCTATATAAGAAAATTTACATGATTTTGGATTTGAGTTGAGGAATTTTAACAATAAAGATAAAACTGATCAATTTCTTGCAATTTTAATATTTTTTCATCAATGACAATATACAGTTTAACTGGACAGACATTCCTACAGTGTCAGAAAAAAGCAAAAAGGAAAATAATTGGCTTGCTAGACAGATCTGGCAGCAGACAAAACATACTAATCATCTACTACTCATTTGTTTTTACTGTCACAGGCTGAATAAAACATTCCACTACTGACAGCTTAAAGTAATACAAATATGCCATATTTGCCCCCCCAAAGTTTCATCCATGCTATTATTAACATCAGAATAAAATATAGATAGGCATTCTAATACTCAATTGAAGAGAAGTGGAGAGAGTGGACATCCTTGTCTCGTTCCTGAGTTAAGAGGAAATGGCTTTAGTTTTTCACTATTAAGTATGATGCTGGCTGGAGGTTTGTCATATACAGCCTTTATTGTATTGAGGAATGTTCCATGGATTCCTAATTTTTCCAGAGCCTTCATCATAAAGGGGTGTTGGATCTTGTCAAATGCTTTTTCTGCATCTATTGAGATAACCATGTGGTTCTTATCCTTGCTCTTGTTGATGTGATGAATTATATTAATTGATTTGCGTATAGTGCCCCATTTGTTAGGAAATGGAAAGACTTGGAAAAAATTATATTAAGTGAAGTAAGACAGGCCCAAAGAAATGTAGGTCCCATGGTTTCCCTTATTTGCAATAACTAGTATATATCTGAGACAAGTAAAAAAGGTCAGATAAGATGATGTTAAGGAAATGAATCCCAAGATAAGGACACAAGTGGTTTTTTCTTTCTTGCTATTGTTTCTAACGTATTTGTAAGGCACCACGTGATTTTTTTTGTTGTTTTGTATGTCCCTCCCCCACAGTATAACTCCTGTTTTCACTGTATTTGATGTTGGTATGATTTGGGGAGCGGGAGGGAAAAAACAAATTGTTTAAATAGGGATACAGGCTGACCCATTGCAACAATGAAATGTACAAGATGCTATGCTGAAAAACGAATCTTACAATTTAGGTAGGGTGGGGATGTAGTTGTGGAGATGGGAGGGAAGGGATGGTAGGGGAAAGACAAAGGAGGAGGCAACAATGCTTGATAAGAAATGTACGCATGACCTTGCTCATGTGATTGTAACCTCTCAGTATTTTCACAATAAAAAAACTTATTTTAAAAAAATATAGCCAGTCAGAGGCAGAGGAAGGAGACTCACAAATTCAAGTATAGCCAGACCTATCTACTAAGACTTTCAACTCTCTCATCTTCTCCTTCACAATATAAAGTGTGCATGGCAAATGCATATTCCAATCTTAAGGAAGGAAACAGTCTTCTTTAATGATTATCAGTCACTCATATGAAAAGTGATATCAAACCTAAATGGGAAGAATTAAGGCTCACTTTATTAAGAGTTTATATTCAACCATAAGGTTTTATTTTCAAGACTTGGGCTAGTACCAAGTCTTATATTAGGTGAATCTTTTATGTTTATAAGTCAATTCTGAAGTTATACCTTTGAAAGCAATCAGCAATGTTAACCCTATGAGCCTTAAAAAGCAAAAACACAAAAAACTGATACTTCTGTTAAAAGCCAAACACGTTTAGTCCTTGACATAGACTTCATTTTTATTAATGCTGTCAAAAGTATGTTAAAAGGGATCATTTTTATATACAAGCTGAAATCTGTTGTCAAGAAAGTCCCATTCTAGAGTTCTTGATAAGCTATAAAAAGCTGTCTGAGATAAACATAGTAGCACATGCTTGTAGTTCCAACACTCAGGAAGCTGAGGCAGTAGGATCATGAGTTTGAAGCTAGCCTGGGCTACAGAGAGAGATATACAGAGAGAGATACTATCTCAAGAACAAAACAAAACAAAACAAAAAATCACCTAAACAGCTCCCTAGAAACTCTTTTGTATAAAAATAACAATATTTATTATATGGACATCCTTGTTTTAAAGATTTTATTTTGGGGTTAAAGGAGTTTAAGTCCTAGTCTTTGCTAAGCAGATGCTCTACCACTTGAGCCATGCCTCCAGCTCCCATTTATTTTTATTTATTTATTTATTTTTGGGTCCAGTCATGGGGCCTGAACTCTGGGCCTGGGCAACTCTGGGCCTGGGCGCTGTCCCTCAGCTCTTCAGCTCAAGGCTAGCACTCTACCACTTGAGCCACAGCGTCACTTCCAGCTTTTTTCTTATGTGGTCCTGAGGAATCGAACCCAGGGCCTCGAGCATGCAAGGCAAGTGCTCTACCACTGAGCCACCTTCCCAGCCCTCCCATTTATTTTTGAGTCAGTATATATTTGTAATATAAGGGTGTTTCATTAATATTTCTATACATGCACACAGTGGACCCTGTTACCCCTTCTACCATGTTGCTATTCTTCTCCTCCTTCCTTTGATACCCTCTTTTCCCCTCCTTAATCTCTAGCCCTGTTTATTTTCACTTAGGAACTGTAGGCTTTTTGCCCCAAGGTTGACCTAGTATTATGATCTTCCTCTTGAGTAGCTGGGATTATAGATGTGTATACCATTCTTTCTTGTTCTAGAATTTCTATCATTGATTGAAAGAAAACTAGATTTAAAGGCTTGATCATATTGTTGAAAGAAGATTTGGTCTTTGCCTCATTTGAACTAAATTTTAATTTTTGAAAATGGCATACTGTGTGTGTGTGTGTGTACAGTGCCAGAGATGGAACCCAGAGCTTCATGAATGCTAGGCCAGTGCTTTGCTATCACCCCAATCCTAGAAAATAGTATAAAATCTACTATAAAAGTAAAGAGAACATTTTTTATGATTTAAAAAGTATTTTAACTGATTTTGAAGTAGAATGAACTTCAAAAATTCCCGAGGCAATCTGAAAACACAGATACCTATAAAAGCAATCACTTAAGGATAGATGATTCATTTGCCTTATGTGTTAAAAATTCAAGACTAAAAATGATGTTAATCCAAATAACTACAAGTGTGGCACTTCTAGCTAGCAGGCTGCTTGTCGAAATAGGAATATGTGTAAACACCAAAATCAAGCTGTTCCAACATTCCCATTTCCAAAAGTCTTGTGCAAAGTTCCAGTGAAATTGAAATTAAATATGTTGAGTGTTTTGCCTTTTTGTTGTCCTACTTCAGTTCAGGAATATGGTTGAAATGAGTTACATATACATTTTGGACTGAGGCTACATTATCTTTTTTGAGGTTAGGAAGAAAAAGTCTTGGAATTCAATCACATTAAAAAAAAACAAAAACGGATCAAGAGAATACTCTAAATGTAATCAAGCATTTTAAAGTACAATTTTTAAAATGCTTCTCTTTTGAGGGCAGTTTTAGGCTCAGCAAACTGTGCTATACCCTAACTGAAATTTCCCATTGCACCCTGCCTTTGCATGCACATCACCTTCCTATTACCAATGGGTCTCATTAAGAGCAGCACATTTGTTCCAATTTAGCATGTTCTAATCTTAATTTCTATCTGCCTTTTTTTTTTTTGGCAGTGCTGGTGATAGAAGCCAGGGCCTCATGGATGCTAGACAAGTATTCTACTACTAAGCTTCAACCCTAGCCCTTCATCCTTTTTCCAATGAAAATCAATATCTATTAACTACGTACCACACACACAAAAAAAGGAGATCACCATAGACCCAAAGATAAAATGCAAATGAAGAAGTACTCATTAGTAATTAAGGAGGTACAAATCAAAACAGTGAGATAGTCATGAGAATTGCTGAAATTATAGACTATGTATCCTAGATGTTGGAAAAAATAACAAGTTGAGCATTCACATGTTACTCATGAGAATAATAAAGTGATACAACTACTCTGGAAATTGATATGGAAATTTTTTTTTCCAAAAAAACTAGCTATAATTCTACTTCTAAGAATTAAGCCAGAGAAATTAAAATATACCATCAAAAAGACTTACCCAAGTGTCTACAGTAGCCTTATTCATGATAGCAACACAGTGGAAATAATCAAACTATCAATCAACCAGAGAATAAAATAAAGAATGTGCTATTCTGTTAGATGAAGTTTTACGAGACAAACTATAGTGAAAGAAAATCTAAATAAGTGGTTGGCTCTTGAGTCCAGAGGGCCAACTGACTGGAAGAAGGCATATAGTGACTTCCTGTTGTGATAGACATGTTCTTCCTGTCTTGACTGAGTATGGGCTAACGGATGTATTTGTCCAAACTCATTGAGCTGAATGCCAAAGATCCATATTCTAAACGATATCTAGTTTAAAAATGTGCTGCATAATTAAAATTAAGCTATGTTGCAATACATATTTTATATACAGTATGCCTGAAATGAAATAGGAAGTTTAAATCGAAGTGTGATATGCATCTATCTCAGGTACTGAAGATTGAACTCAGGGCCTCATGCTTGCTAGGCAGGTGCTTACCACTAAAGTCATGCCTCCAACCCCTTCGTGTATTGGTTATTTTCAAGGTAGAATCTTGCTTTATGCCTGGGTTGTGATTTTCTTGTTTTCCCCAATCACTAGGGCTAACAGGTGTGTGCCAGTGGGCCACTGGCTGCGATAGAGCATTGCAAACTCTTTTTTTTGCCTGAGCTCCAACTGCAATCCTCTAATCTCTGCCTCCCAATAGCTAGGATTATAGGCTTGAACCACAACACTGAAGTAATTTTAACAATGGTGAGAAAAACAGGAAGCGAACACTCACTTGCTTATTATAGACCAA